GCTCACCATAGCATGTACCGTCCCCAATGTCTATCACCCAGCCACCCCACACAATTAATATTTTAATTTAAAATAATCTAATTTGGATTAATGCCACCTTAATTTCAATATTTTCTAAATACTTGGCTACTGGGTAGCTCCATTTCCTCCCCCTTCCTTTGTGTTGTTACAAATTACGTATCTATACATTGTATGTCCATAAACACTTCTAAAATTGACTTAATGCAAGAATTAAAAAGCCATTACAGGAAAGAAAGTGTATTATAACAAAAAATTATTAATTCATTTGTTTAAGTCAGATAAGTGAAAAAAGTTACAAATATAAATATATACTGTCTTTCATATTTACCTACGTAGTTGCATTTACCTGTGGTTTTTATTAACTCATTTGGTTCAGGTAACTCCCTACTACCCTTTCATGCAGCCTAGAAGATTCCCTGTACTATTTTTTATAGAGCAGATCTGTTAGCAAACAATTTTCTGAACTTTCAGTAATAAAGACAACTTTTGCCAAACATGTTAGACAAAAGATTGAACTTTCTGTTCTATCAGAAAGGATATTATTAAGTTGGACCTTATGAAACTGACACAAAAACATGGGTTCACAGCACCACTTATACATTTGAATATTATATTTGTAGAAACTGCAAAAACACCATCATGCTCAGTTACTAACAAAAAAGTTTTCTTAGTTTGGATTATCACCATCTTAATTTCAATATTTAATAAATACTGTCGATATTTTAGCTGTAAATCCAGTTAGATGAGTGTTCCCGGGAGCAGTAGACTGAAGACTGGTATTAGAAGGACTGTTTATCAACAACAGTAGTTTATCAGAAACTGGGGAAGCTCACACGGAAGCAGTACGACATTCAGGGATTATAGAAAGCTCTAACACCATTGTAAACATCTCTTAAGTGCTTTTTTGTAGTAGTTACTCAGTAGTATATACCAACTCATTACCTCTTCCATACTGTAATGATTGTAATCTGCAAATTCAACATATTGTTACACAATTAGCAGGTTGG